CTTTGCCAAGCAGCAGAAGGCACTTGGGCTGGGGTTGGTTTGTTGTACTTATATCCAGTAAGAGCTAATTGCTAATGTTTCCTTCCCCACCAACATAGTTTACGGCCTAATGTGCAAGAACCACGTCTCTGAACTGGCTTTTAGAAATATCACAACTAGTAGCGGCCCAGAGTCCTACCACCCAGAGTGCAAGATGTTCTCAATGTCTGGAGAGAAAGCCGTAGAGGAGAGAAGAAGGACCTCAATGCAAGGTCAATTCATGAATGTGTGCAGTTACTCTGCATGTAATCAGGGCCTGATGGGGGCCAAGAACTATCTAGAGGTCAGGATACAAAGACGATAGACAGTGGAGTAAAGACATAGAATAATAAAAAATAAAACAAGGGATGCAAACTCCAGCATTCCTGGGTTTCCATCTTCACTTACCAGGGATTTGACCTTGGGTAAAATTCTTAGCCCCTCACCATCTCAGTTTTTAAACAACAAAGTAAGTTGTTTTCAGGAGGAAGGACAAAATGTTTATGTCTGATGCACAGAAAGAGCCCAGTACGAAGAAGGCAACAGACACATGGGAGCTTTTATTAAGACACAGTTCACTCCTTCGAAAGCCTGCCTCCTGTCACTGTAATAAGAGTTTCATCCATACATTTGTTCATTCATTCATTCATTCATTCACTCACTCACTCATTCCTTCAGGAAATATTTATTGAACACTCATGATGACTTGGGCTCTGTGCTAAGCATTGGGGCCGGAGCAGAGAACAAATCAGACAAGTGCCTGCTCTTACGGGCTTATTCTAGTAGGAGGGGGCACACAATAAGAAATAGAAACATATATTCATAATAACATGTTAGGTGATAACAAGCAGTCTGCAGTAAACTAAAGTTAAGGGAGCTCGAGAGTGATGAGGGTGTGACTTTGGGTAAGGTGATAGGGAAGGTCTCTCTGATAACGTGACAACAGGCAAAGGCCTCCAAGAAGTGAGGGAACAAGCTGGGCATCATGGGAGTATCCACCCCAGGAGGGATGTGACTGGTGTGAGGCAGGGATGGCCTCACGGGGAACTCCACTCAGCACACAGGAAGCTGGGAGCTGAGGCGCCACGTGCTCTGAGAGGCAGCCTCCTTCCCTGGCCCTCAGGCTCTCACTCTCCTTTCCATGGATCCACAGACAGGGCTCCATCGGGGACGCTGAGGGTCCTCTCCCGCCAGGCAGCCAGCACACAGGGGCTACTCAGAGCATCAAGAGTATGTGGGAGATGAAGAGTAGCCACAAAGAACAGCCAACAATCTTATCCAAGGGAGACAGACTTATGTCAGGCAAGATGCAGAATGTTCTCCAGGCATGATTATTTCAGGGTGCAAGAGATGACAGGAGAATCCTTGAGTGTGAGTGCTGAGGGGATGTTGAAGAAGGAAAGACACAAAGAGAGGTAAGAGCTCCATCGGGCTTCTCCTGGAATGGAGGGAGGGAGGCCGCGTGCCGGAGACAGGCTGGTTGTCCCAGGCACTCCCGGAAAGGAGAGGAAAGGGTGCGCACACCCATACACACAAAATTGTGTTACGCATAATTTGAGGAGTTTGAGGTTCCCCTGTAGCCCACACCCACAGACCCCAAGGACCAAGGTTATGAATGCTTGTTTTAGCAAAAGGGGCCTCATCTCAGTCTCTAACATGAGCTTCAAGTTCACTACCTGCAGGGCTCAGCTGAACCTGCTGACCACAGTGGCTGGTGGAGGCGTGGGAACTGCAACTTTGGAGCCCTGACTTTAACCTCCAGTTCATGGAGGTGAAGAAAGATAACACATTACATAATTTTGGATTCTTCCTTTTCTTTTGCAGGCTACTAGAAGGTTCTCAACCCAAAATGACAACGGTATAGCATACACACTCTTGGGCCTCCCTACCCCCTCAGCAGCCAAGGTGCAGCCACACGACCATTCTCTACACTGCCCTGCATAGTTACTACCGGTGACGGCTACCACACACAGACATACGTGCCGTGGCAGCATCAGCTTCCCCATTCTGTTGGAAATGGCGTTAACCACCCACTGGCAGAGGAACAAAGGGCTTGATTTTTTTTTTTTTTAATCTAGTACAAGAATGAATTCGATGAGATTTTTTGCATATTTCCTAATCCTGTCAGGTTGAGATTAGGGGTAGAGACTGTGGTCTGAAAATTGATTTTCCATTTGAAGCTAAGGGGCTGATTCAGTGTCTTCATCTCAGATTCAGAGCAAGTAGCCCAAGTAGCCATGAGGCTACTTAGTAAGAGTCACACATCTCAATGATGAACCGTGTGTGTACATGTGTGCACACACGCATGTGTAAAGGGTTACATGAGGGAGAGAAGGCAGGCAAGAGGTGATAAAGAGGTAAGATCTGAAATCGTATGAGACCTGAGAGATCATTCTGGTCTAAGAAAAGTAAACGCTGTGATGACATCAAATTTAAACCAATAGGTATGCCAGGAAAATGCTTTTATTATTTGCCTTATTTGGACCTAGTCCATATTTCTATTTAACTGCTCCTCTCAGTTTCTTGGGCAATAATGATAAGGCTAAACTTTTCAAATAAAATAAAATTGTTCCTCTGCTCTGTGCAGACTGGCTGCAAAGCAGGTTATGGCAAGTATCCCCAAATCCTTCGTCCTAGTCCGTCAGTTTTGGGGGTTCAGGGTATGACCTGGGTGAGGAAGACTGTTTTTATCCCAGCTCTTGCACTAATTCCTGCCCTAATTATCTGAGGACAAGTCACTTGGAAAGCTGGGTCAGTGAGCCTCTCTAGACCTCGGCTTCCTAGTTCATTAGATAAATAAGCTTGATGAGTTTACAGATGTGTATGTGTGGCAGGGGGGAAGGGGGAGGAGTGGTGTAGCCATTTTGCAAGAAAAACCAGCAAGTTAGTTTCAATATGTTCTACAGTGAGTCTCTAACGCTCACCTAGTTACTAACTTCTCTGCCATTGGTCAAGGGGCCCTAGCAAGCGTGAGATGGAAGGTCTGAAAAATCCTTCATTACAATGCGAAAGAAATCAAAGTAAACATCCTTTTAATGGCTCATTAACACCTCTGGTGTCCAAGACAGTGGAAACCTTCGCTTGGCCTATCCTCACTGGGGCTGTACGCTGTTGGTCTGCAAAATGTGAAAATAAAGCCTATAAATGAGAAATGATTTATTTCTCATGGAAGCAGCAAGTAGATAAAGTGTTAAAATTACTTAGAAACACATATACGTTAAGTCCCCTGCCTTCAAGTTGTGAACTTTCAAAGATTCGAACCTGTGTTCACGTGTCCAGTCACGTAAGTTAGCTCATGTGTCTGGTGTACATTGTCACCTGCGTGCGTCCTGTGCAAGTGGCGGTGCTTTTGTGTACTTTACTGTACAGTACCGTACAGAGTACCGTAGTACAGTGTCACTGGATCGTTTTTTCAAGAAGGTAGATAGAATTGAATCCAGCAAGGAAGCAGAACCTGTGCCACCAGCGTCAGGCGTGAGTGACATTGCAGCCTGCCCTCCGTCTCCCCTTGCTGAGGATCCTTCAGCTCTACCATCTCCCACCTCCTCTCCCTCCTCCAGTCAGTAACTCTTCTTGCCTGTTCACTCGAGGCCAGCACCCGTAGGCCAGCTGTTGTGCTGTACTTCTCAAGGTACTGTACTGTAAGATTAGAAATGTTTCCTTCGTTTTTTTGTGTTTGCTTTTATGTCTTATCTGTGTGAAAAGTATTACAAACCTATTACAGTACTGTACTATAGAGCCAATTGTGCTAGTTGGGCACCCAGGCCAACTTTGGTGGACTTACGAACAAATTGGACTTGCAAACGCGCTCTTGGAGGGGACCTCGTTCGTTGGTAGGGGACTTGCTGTGTTACTGCGTTTTTAAGTAATTTCTAGGTACTTTGAGATGCAATCCCTGACTTCCCCTGCTTTTCTCTGTGTCTCAGAGGTTGATTCCTGCAAAGTGCATGTGCCAGGGTCACACGCCCTCTGCTTCAGGGTAACGTGGCCACCGGGAAGCACTGGGGGAGACTGGGAGGCAGGGCAAAGCCAGGGCAGCCCCTCTCCCCCCACCCTCTGGGCACTGAGGGGTGTCTCTGGCAGCGACTCCTCTGAGGTTCTGCCTGGTCTTGGAAAGCTGCTCCCTCTGTGGTCCCAGCTCCAGCTGGTGCCTGTTCCTGCTGGGCAGCTCTCACAACACCCAGCACCTCTCCCTTTGATCCTCTGGCCCTCCAGCTAAGAGCAGCAGACTCGTGCTGTTGCTCCTGTCTGCACTGCCTCACGGTGCCTTCAGCCCTCCCAACTCTGGCAATGAATTATCTCCATGGAACCACCTGGTGTGGGCTCTGCTTTCCTGACGGGACTCTGAGTCTTGTCCAGAGGGCTCTAGGTCTCTGAAGAACAGACATCATGTGTAGGAATGTACAGATTCCAGAAAATGCACTTGGCAGGTCCATTCCTTCTCTGCTGCCGGGAAAGCTCTCTCAAACATTGCATTTGTCTGATCACCTAGGACCACTTGCACTAGACATGTGTTTGGATGGAAGGAACATGGGATGGAGAATTAGAGAACGAGAATGCTGTATCTAGTCACGTGGCCTTCGCAAGTAGCTTAGAACCAAGTGAGCTGAGGTTATTCGCGCCACAGGGGGATAACAGTTCCTCTGGCCTGCCTGCCAATTATTAGGCTCAAACACAAGAGGGCATGGAAATATATTTTAGAAACTGGCACGGCCGTTGCAAAGCTAAATCTATTATTATAGGAGACAAAGTTGACTTTTATGGAACGAAAAGTGTTTTGCTCTCAGCTTAGCCTGATTTTGACTTCTCAGCCTGATTTGTACTAAATGTACTAAAACATAGGAAAGGTGCACAGACAAGTGCCTGGCACATCATGAGAGTGATGTGGGTCCCAGCTGTGATTTCTGGGCTGGGCTCTCCTTTGCATCATGACAACATGGCAGTTTACCAAAGGCCGTGCCGGGGGGTCAAGGTCAACTTACCGATGTCGAGGACCCTCTGCTTGGCCGTGTGCTGTCGAGAGTGCCAGTACTTCCAGTATTTCAGCTGCTCGTCCCGGTTTTTGTCTTCACTGAAGACCACCATTACCACGCTCTGCAGAGGGGGAGAACCACGGAGCTTACTTTCTGTTCAGCAACTCCTGCTTCACACACTCTCCAGTTCTAGAAGTTCTATCAGAGGTGGGTTGCTGTAATTTCTGTAAATTTGCTTTTCTTGCTTTAGAAAAGCCCAATAAGCCCAGGCGTATGGTTTGTCTTGTTTGAAAATGGGCCTACTTTAAAAAACTGAATGGGAAACGAGAACAGCACATAGTGAAAAAGAATGCTACATCATTTTCACCATGAATCATAAACAAACAGATTATCCAATTTACCGGCAAATTTATTATTGTGTGAGCTGAGTGGGCATACCAAAAAAGATTTTTTTCTTGTATTGGAAACAAGGACATTTTTGAAATTTCATATCCTTAAACATAGAATTTGGTGCTTTTGTAAAGGAGCAAACATCTGTTTCTGGCCTAATTAAGTGCCTCTGGCTGGATTAGTGGGAATAATGAGAGAAATACTAAAAGATGAGCTCATATTGATGAACGAAGATCTAAGCTACAGATATTTCATAGACCAAAAGCTACAAGGTCAACTACGTTATTTATAAAAATATGTGGATGTACTTTTAAAATGAGCATGAGAAACTAATAATGTCTTGTAGAAATAAGTATCCCAAACTGCTTTCACTTCTAAGTTACAGCCTTGTTCAACTAAATATATGTTAATTCATTGTCATTTATGAGATGGAGGAGGTACCAAAAACAAACAAATAAACAAACCAAAAAAACAAAAAGCAAAAACCCTGTAATTACAGCATGAGGAATACCGTATCCAGGGATATACTCCCCCCCTCATTCCATATGCAAAATACTTCTTAGACATTTTTCTGCTATTCCAGAAGAATGTTTCAATGACTCTCATTCTTTAATAACTTCTCCTTTGTAGCATTTCACATACTTGTAGTCATCTACCTAATTATTTACAATTATTCAGCCCATGGCAATGTCTTCCCACTGATGCCTATCTCAACGAGGGCTGGGACAGAGTCACTCACCACGGGGGCCCTGGTGCCCGACAAATAAGAGATACCAAATACATGTCTGTGACCGAACTGTCAAGTCAAAATCTGGCTTATTCCCAGTGGTATGTAAACATTTGTTACACAAGAAAGCAGATGTCTGTTAGAAAAGCTAGTTTAGAAATGTGCATCCATACTATTTGCATTCACAAGCGGCATGACCCTCAAAGGCATGGAGGAGAGCTGGCAACAAAGGGATCCACTGGCTGGGCTGGTGGAACTCTGGGCTCAGCCTCTCTCCATCCTCCCTCCCCCTTCCCCGGGCTTTTCCATTTATATGTAAGCGTTTACTGCCCAGCCTCCTGGTGTTTTTTTTCTGTCTGTTCCAAAATAAAAATAACATTTCAGGTAATTTTTTCTAGCACACGACTAAAATGGCATATTCTTGGGATGGAAATGTATTTTTCCAGTGGTAAGGAGAAAGGCCGTTTGAAACTGCTATTACCACGGCTAAGCTTCGACTCGGGATGCAACACGGTTCTCAGAAATCAGCGCTAGGAGGTTCCAAGTGCATCCCTCATTTCTCCACACTGCTGGCTCTAACAGAGCCTAGGAGTGAGAAAGGTCCATTCTGAGAAGGGCCATCCTACTCTCCAAGGCTGTTAGACTGAAGTCCTTAAGAGAAGGAAGGCTCTTGGTTTTAGGCAAAATGCAACAGAAGGAAATAAAATGTCTATATTCGATCACTTCCATGATTTCAATGAAAGAAAGTTCTTGGAAAAGTTCCTGCACTACAAACTGTTGTCATAGCCTCAGATTACTAACCATGCGTCATCCTTTCAGGGTGATGGTAACAGTGTTGTTACCAACAAGGTGTATACATGAGTTATACACTTGTAATCTACAAGATTTTTTTTTTTAAGACTATGTATCCAGTGCCTTCTTACCAGGCATCCACATGTGAGGGTTTCGGATACAAATTCTAGGATATATTTCCAGAGGTGGATCCCATGCTAAAATCCGTCTGCCTTTCAGGCCTCCATGCTACTCAACACAGTACACTTAGCGGTTAAGAGAGTAGGTTCAGGGGTCTGACTGCTTGGGATATAACCCAGTTCCCTCACGTTTGAGCTATGTAACCTTGGTCAGTTGCTAGCTTCTAAAAGGCCAAGTTTCTTCATCTGTAACATTATAAAAGGAAGGCCTATTTCATAGGGCTGTTGTTAGTTTCAACGAGTTACTAGATGTACAGTGCTCAACACAGTGTCCAGCACACAGAAGATACACTCAATAAAGACTAGCTGTCACATTGTGGCCCTGGTTGTCGTGATGATGGGGATGATGACGACGATGATGCTGCTGCGGCTGACGGCATACCTCCACCGTAGCCTTGACCTCAGGGTCGGAACATACTAACTCCTCTGGAGGGCAAACTCAGCACTTTTCCACCTGCCACGGGTTCAGCCTCAGGTGGGTCGTTAGCCCCACATCCTTCCTGTCTTTCCCCTCACTCTCAACCGCCCTGCCTCCTGCCTCCTGTCACTCCGATCTGGAACTGGGATGGCCTTGGAGGGAGAAAGGCCTGCTGGACAAATGAGCAGCAATTCTTCCTTGTCTTTCTCCTGGAAACAAAGCCGTAAAACCGGGTTGATTCAAGAAAGCAGCACTGCAATGATTTTACCTAAAAGCTAGTAACAGGCAAACCGGCCAGCAGGCGCCTGGACACTCTTTTCTCTTCTACCTCAGGGGTTACCTTTGCCTGGGAATCTGGGTTGGGGTAAACTCACTGGGCTCGGCACAGCACGGCGCTCCTTTCTCAGTATGCAGAGGAAAGAGCTTCGGAGTGCACACCACGCACACAGCAGCATAAATCATTTTACAACAGGGCACGAAACTCCTTCAACCTCTTTTGAGAGCTCTGCTATAATTTTCCTTTTCAGTCGACAGGGATTACCAGTTCCCTCCCTTCTTGGCAGTAGCGAGAATGCCAGAAGCTGGCAGGCTTCCAAGGCAGTTTCATGTCCCACAAATAGAACTAATAACTCGTGAATGTGAAAATTCCTCCAAGTCACTCCTGGTAGGGATCATATCATGCCCACCTCTTGACTCCTGAGTAAGTGCCAGGCTGCAGAAGTCTTTTAGCAAAGCTGCGGAGGGCCCAGGGACGCAGAATGAACTGCACCCTCCTTTTCAGAAGAAAGCCCAGCTCTTTCCTGCCCACACATACGCTCTGACTTACAGCTGCTTACCTGAAAACTGCACATCATTTGATTGAAAACAACGACGACAACAACTAGGTAGCACATAGGCAATGAATGAAGCTGGGGAAATTCCTTGGATACAGTCAGAAAGCATGTTCCAACCACGTCCCTTCCCTGGGGTTTATTAGTTACTGATTAAGATGATAAACTGCAAGCCAATAAGTTCTCTTGCCCCAACTCTCTGACATTTGTTCTAGAATTATTTATTTTGGGATTTTTTTCCATGCCCTTCCACAAGGCTGGCAGGTAGTCACTGCTTTCACCTGATCCCTCTGTGCTTTATTGGAGAAATGAGGCCCTTACCCTGACTTTGCTGATGGGGTGTCGGAAGCACTTGTTGTCCCCCGTCTCGCTGAGCGTGATGGCATAGAACTGTCCCTTGTTGAGGTAGGTCATGGGGCCCTCCCCCTGCTTCTGACGGAGAGATTTGGTGGCTTCCAGGGTGTATTGAAATGTGCCACTGTGAACAGAAGACAAATAGCGGTCAGATTCATTCACTTGGACATTTCTGGCTTCTGGATCAATTTCACATCAATAGCATTTTGTATGAATATTAACCAACGTTTACTCCATTTCAGAGACAAAACACAGCACATGGCAAAGGAGATGAGACCATACCAAAGGTCACTGTTAGTACATTGCACACAACATTTCTAATAGCGGCCCATAAACCAGATGGTTTAGAAGGGGAGAAAGTCCACAATGTGCCCGTCTACTTGTGCCAGGCGGAGCCGGGGGAGCCTCTGTTAGGTTTTAGTTGGTCCTTGGTAATGCCTGAACTTAAGAATCGCTAAAATTTGCCACTTTCATCCTAGCAACAAGCCAAATATGTGAATGGTTTTGTTCAATTCATCCGTATACCAACTTTCTTTTGTCTAGCCAAGGTGTTGCAAATAGCTACATCCCACTTTAAAATAGTTCAAAATGTAAAAATCTAGAACTCATTCATTATTGAAATCTATATGGAATCTAGCTCCATAACAGGGAGTAATTTTTGATTTGGGGGTTTTGTTTTTTAAGCCTGCAAAAGAACTCATGACAGGGTTACTGCTCTAAATCTGGAGCTTGCAAACAATGGCCTGTCGGCCAAAGCCAGCTAGCTGCCTGTTTTTTGTAAATAAAGTTTTACTAGAACACAGCTACATTTGTTTGTTTGTTTGTGTTGCCACAGCACGGTTGAGTAGCTGTGACAGAGACTGTGTAGTATGCCAAACCTAAAATACTTAGTATCTAGCCCATTACAGAAAAAAAGTTTGCAGATCCCTGCTCTTAATAATTTCCCTAATATTTTACAAATACAAGCTAACTTATAAAATAAAAACACTGATTTTCCCAACTTTGAAGAATATACGCATTGTTCAAAATGAGCAACAGATATGAATCACAATCTCTTTATTTAAGATGCTCATTCAGAATATTTATTTCTGTCACTGCAGGATGGCACACAATGATGATCCAATTACAAGTGCTTTGTGTGTTTTCTGAGAATCATCAGAGGCTCTTCACTGGGTCTATCTATTTTTTTTAGCTCTTTAATTTCAGTCTGTGAAAGGCTGTGTGCAAAAATGAAGTTCGCCTCTTAAAATGATCTACTTACAAGATTATAGGGGACTCTTGCTTTCTATGTTGAATATTTCTGCAATTTTTGGGTTTTTTTTAACTTTTATAATGAGAAAGAAATTTGAAGGGCAAAATAATATTCCTCTTCCATGATAAAAATCTTAGGCTTAAGCTGATAAACAAAGCAAATTCCAGAATATGTGTCTTAGAATAAGGTGGGAAATAAATCATGCAAGACAGAACCAATTCCACTGTCATTTTGCCTAGAAAAAGCAATTTCAAGATAACCCACTGAATCATAAAGTTTGAGACCTGGACAGGATATTAGGAATCACCTAGACCAGGAGCGTGCAACTTGTCTAGGTCACAGACTGCTTGAAAAACATGAAGAAAGCTGTGAACCCTCTTCCCAGATAAAAGCACATATGAACACTAATGATTTTTAATATAATTTCAAGGGATTCACGTCCCCCAAGCTCATCCACAACACAAGATAAGAACCACTTTCCTCATTTCACAGCTGAGGAGAGACTGAGAAACTTGCTCACCCCTGGAGACAATGACAGCAGCAGAAAGAGACACCAGGTCACATGACTGGTGGGTCGTTGCTCTTTTCACTGGCCTGATAGCTGGCTGCATGGTTATCTGGATTGACAGCATGCAAATTATACATGTATTTCCACGTTTTAGAAGGTGATTTGGAACTTTATCTTCTCTGCCTCTCCCCTACCCTTCATCACCACTGCACACCCAAATTCTGGCTGGGAGAATCTGGAGAGGGTGACTGGGGAGCCTGAGGCTGGAGCAAGACCCTGAAGGGGCAGGAGGGCTTCAAGCAGAAACAGAGAGAAGAGAAGAGGGCCATACATGTAAAAGCAAAGGGCCAAGAAATACAGTGGGGGACAAGGTTTACAGTAAAAAGGGACCAGCACATAGACGGCCCCAACTACCTTCATAAGGAATTTGTGTCTTATTCTGTCTGAAATGGTGAAATCACTGATAAGTTTTGTAAATGGGATGGATTAATTCATCCTTGCCATTCTCTCCTGTCTACAGGCATGATCATGACCAAGGACTTTGAACATGTGGCCCCTCTACCTAGAATGTTCTTAATCCTCCTTCTTTCCCTGGAAAACTCCTGATAATCCATCAAAATCCAGCTCAAATGCTACTTCTTGTAAAGCTTTCCTCTGGTCCCATCCCACTCACACCCCACACACACCCAGGCCTGCAGGTCATCTCAGCTGTCTATTCATGTATCTCTGTAGCAGGACTCATCATTTTGCAAATGTATTGCAATTTGTATGACATCACACAGGTCTCCTGCAAAAGTCTATGGGCCTCTTTTAAGGACAGGTTATAACTTATCCTCAATCCCTATCTCATTGCTGGAAGATGGAAGGCACCAAAGTCTGTGACAGCTAGTAGGTAGAAATGTCCAAAGTGGAACGGAAGGGAAAAGAAAGTGCTGGCAGGGCAACCTGTTATGTTGCAACAGCTCAGAAGCATATGCACAAGAGTAAATTGGAAGAGACAGGACAGGTAGAATAGGACATCCAGCACTTGGCAAATGCCATGAACGTGTAGCAGGAAGGCAAGCACCTTGCACCTCTGGAGTGTGTGGCTGGGAGGATGGCATCATTAGGCACAACAAGAAATAAAAGTGGAAGAACAGATGTGAAAGAAGTGAAGAAGGAAGGAAAGAAGAGGAAAAGACACGTACATGCTGTGCTGGAGGCCCAAGTGCCTGAGGTTTAGAGGAACACCTAAGAAGGGATGTCTAGCAGCAAAAGGACAAAGGAAGGGTACAGGTAGGTCTCAGAAAATTGATCAAGACTGGAAATAGTAATTTAGAAGTCATTGTGTAGAGAAAAGAATTTTCTTTTAAAGGTGTAAAAGTATAACTTGACGATACATTTAAACAGGTATCAGTTCATCAGTTTCTAGGGGCATCTCCTGTAACCTACCTTGATGTCTGGTCATACATGTACTCCTCAGCCCCAACTGAAGCACTCCGAAATTTCTGCAAAATTTAAAAGTCACCAAAATTAGAACAAATAGGTGAGTCATTATGCAGGAAAAAAAAAAGTGACAAATGTATCCAAACTGTTTTGTCCCCATTTTAGAAAGGAAAATTACACATTTTCTTGGCATTATGTTTTCAACTACAGTGAAAATAGTTACCATTTGTGTACAGAACTTGCATACCACCTGCACACTGAGAATTACATTCAACAGAAAATGCATTTGTGCTTTTATTCACATGTCCACATTGACATGTCCACAGGTGTTCCTAAATTGTCTCCAGGTACTGGAAACTGTTTCCTCAAACATGTAAACATCTCTTCCATTTTCTTATCTCCAACACTTATTCCAAAAGTCACAAATTCTGAGTTAACGGAATACTCATTACAGAGAAGCCACATAGCGTATCATAAAGCAGTATTTAGAGTTCTGGGGCATAGTTTTTGGAGCAAGACTTTCTAGGGTCAAGTTCTAGGGTCAAGTTCTAGCTCTTTTACCTGCTGCCTATGTAGACTGAGGCAAGTGCCATATTTTCTTCAGCTGTAAAATGCCTACTTATAGTGATGAGAAGAATTAAATGCATTAGCAGAGATAAAGTACTACAAACAGTTCCTGGAACGTGGTGAGCTCTATCTATGTGTATTAAATTCTGTTCCATACTCAGGCAAAATTGTGAAACTGAAGTTCACACTGACATTTTTTTCTTCCAACAACAACAACAACAAAAATTCTGTTCTATAGTAATCACTTGATCGTACTCAATGCCCTTCTCTAAGATCTTCATTATCACAACAGTGTTAAAAGTAATTTTGCGGAGGGAAATTCTAAGTCTTAGTATTACATGTGAAAAGGCTTGGGTCCACAGACATTCAGTTGCTGTATATTTAGTGCAAGTAGGATGCACTTTGCTACATTTTAGAACCTTCTTAAAAGCAGATGCACCAAAAGCCCTAACTCTTGATCCTAAAGTAAATATAATAGAATATTGATGAAAAAGCACTTGGTGGACCACACAGATCTGGACCTTCCGCTGTGGCCTTTTTTCTAGTGTCTCTTTCTAAGAAACAACCATCTTGCCTTTCATTTCTCTGCCATAAACTTCCATTCTTTGACAAGTAATTCGAAGATTTCCTTCTCAGGAAAGGTTTACTCACAGCTATTTTCCAAATTTCCTTCACAATCTCTAACCACCATCACTTGAATGCAGTGTGCCCTCACCTCACACTTCATATGTACATACATAGGATCTTTATTTATATACAATCTTATAAGCTCCGTGGATCCGAGAAGACAGTTTGCCCTTCAAAGTTTACCCAAACGCAGCCCAGGAGCATCTGACAAGTATTTGTTAACTAGTTTATTAATCATGACAGAGACTCAAAGATACAGATTTGTGTTTCTTTTGCAATCAGTCAACCCATCAACAAGGCATTAAATGGAAATATTCTGGGGCTTCAGCATCTGACTGGTGCCAAGAGACATAGAGAAAATATATAAGGCACTTTCTTTGCCTCAAATATATAAAAATTGGTTGAGGAGGTGAGTAAATTCATATGAAAAATGACAACAAAAGAAACTGAAATACAGTAAATGACTAGATATGAAGGTCTATGTTAAAGCATTCATCCATTCATTTATTCAGGTGTCCTGACTGGAAAAGTACAGAATGAACATTACCAGGAAAGGAAGATCAGCAAAATTCTGGAAAGATTTTATGGCTGTTGTGAACTTTGCTTTGATCCTTAATATATTTAAGAATTAGGAAATTTTGGAGTAGGAAGGTAGCACGATGAAAAGAGCATTTAAGGAAATGACTCCAAGACAGAGAAGATGCATTTCAAAGGTCTTCTTTGAAGGAATATGTGGTAACCCGTAACAACACATGGTGAACCAGTATTAATAAGCAAGGCCCTGAATGAGTTCATTGCCCATGCCATAGCACCGTGCAGCCTGAGGATAGACTTGCTTACTAAAACATATTGGACTGATACATTCTAGGGTTCTAATGTCCCAGGGGATGTAAGAAGATGTGATATACTACAACTATTCAGACTCAAAGAGACTGTCAACTATGGGCTAACAAATAAAAACTCTTAATCCAATAATATGAGCATGTAAACAAGAACTATGAAAAAATTAAAATAGTTGACATATTACTGACATGGATATTACTTTTTCCGAGTTTAAACATTTATCCTTAATTCGGTTACATTATCTTTATAATTAAAAAAAATTAAATGTATACTCTACCTGGAAAACATCACAATCCTTTATGATGGCCCTAAATGATTGTTGATATGGCCAAAGGGAGAGAGGCCTTTTAAAAATATACATATATATTTATCCTACAGTAAAACTGTAGGCTACCCTCACCCTTGGCATTTTCACTGTTGCTGTACAAGGCTGCTTGGTTTTCTTTTTGTTGCCAAAGTCTAATAAACAGGAGAGACTGTCATGCTTATGCATGAAGTAGAATTTAGTCAAATAAAAAGTTCTGGTCAAAAAAAAAAAGAATTAGAACCAAAACACTCAGGCCATTCTGACTACAATTACCAAGTTTCCACAACTGTTTGGAAACATTTTAATATAATTTGTAGGATGCCAAAAGGCAGGCAGACAGCCAACATCACCATACCTCGCTGTGATTTGATGCAGCGCATCTATACATTTCTTAATCATTTGGCCTGAGAAAAATGGTAGTAAAGGAAGTATGGTAACATATATTTTCTAGATTATCCTTAAAGGACTTTAGACATCAAGGAATATTAGAATGTTATATTTAAATTTTGAATATTAGAATTCTAGTTTTTTCCTTGGGTGGGAGGAAAGAGACATCTACTAAGAATCTACTATGAAAAGACAATGATTCTAAACAGTGGTAAAATCAGATATAGCAAAATAATTCCATGTCTTTGATCAGCCACCAATTTTTTAGGTCTTATGATTCATTTATTCATTCATCCACTCTTTCAATAAATATTTGCTGAGCATCTACTTTGCATCAGACACCATGCTAGGTGCTATGGATACCACAGTGAACAAAAAGAGCAGCAGTCCCTGCTGTCGTGAAGCTTCCGACCTAGTAGATGAAAAATATTAGTCAAATAATCATTAATTTAAAAATTTACAAACTGTGTGCAGGCACTCTAAGAAGAACAACAGAGTTCTAGGAGAGCACATCACCACCGAGAAAGTAAAAATCAGTCCCACTGACAATCAGCCTTGATGCTTCTAACAGAATGTACTGCTTCCAACAGCACACGGACAAGGCCAACAGAAGACAAGCAATGCTCCCAACACAACCCCAGAAGACAATAACACAGGTACAAAAGTGAGTAACATCCCCCCCTTCCGTGGGATTGATGCCTTCTTGGCAAAGATAGCCTCAGCCCTGCATTGTTCATCCCATCTCCTGAACAATGACGACCGAGGTACCCAGTTTCTAGACTGCCCCAACGTCTTGACATATGAAATCCAGAGCTGGTTGTCACTTCCATGATCCCTTCTTAGACTCATCCGTAACAAGCCCAAACACTACCAAGAGCTCCTCCCAACTCTCTCTTGCTGAGTTGTCCCTAAGGGCCCCTTGCAGGAGCAGGCTAAATAAATGTAACTTTGACTGCAGATGTGTTCACGGTAGTCTTTGGCTGGTGGACTTAGATACAAAGAAAACTGACTTTACTAGGAACTGAAAGGGGAGGACAGGGAAGGCTTCCTTGAGGTAGTCACACAGGAGGAAGGGTGTGGAAGGTAGTAAAGAATATTCTAGAATAGCATTGTCCAATAGAACTTTATGCAAAGATGTAAGTGTTCTATATCTTCACTAATATGGTAGCCACGTGCACCTTCTGAGCACTTAAAATGGAGATAGTGGGACTGAGGAATTGAATTTTTAATTTTATTCAATTTTAATAGCCACAGGTGGCTAGTGACTGCAGTATTGCACAGCACAGTCCTAAAACATGGAGTAGCAGGCACATGGGTCCTGAGGCAGGAGGGAACATATCAGGTTCACAGAACTGAATGATGCTCAGAGCAGAGAGCACCAGGGGGAAAGATGTGCAAGAGGAGGTGGGAAAGGCGGAGGAGAAACAGAATGTGCAAGGCCTTGTAAACCCGTTAAAGATATAGACCTTAATCCTAAAAACAATGGGATTTCAGTGAGAGGGTGTCATGATCAGATTAGCATTCTGAAAAGACCATCCCAGGTACAGTGAACAAAAGTGGACAGTATTATAGGCCAGAGATAATGACAGCTTGGGTCAGTATGGTGGAAGTAGAATGGAGATCAATGATTTCAGAGAGATTTAAGAAAGTGAAGTTGATAGAACTGATAATGACTTAGATGGGGATTATCGTAGAGCAAAGCATCAAGAAAAAAATCCTCGTTGCTTGAGAAACCGGAAGGACGGTGGTGCCACTCCACTAGAGCAGTGAACATGAGGGAAGATGTAAGTCAGATTTTGAGCTGGTGGTGAGTCAAACAGGCAGTTGAACATAAAGGTCTGGAGCTCAGAGAGAACTGGGCTGGAGAAAAATAATGTGAAAAGTATTCAGGACATAGATGATAACTGAAGCTGCAGACATAAAGCTAAGAGCATTTTCAAGAGACAACAGTGATCAAAGCATCAAATGGTGCTGCAAAGTAACAGCTTTAACAGAACGGGGATTTCCAGAGCCGTTCTATTCAAGAGCTGGGTAGATGGCCCCTAGGAACCTAAGGATAGGCCATCCAATCTCATAAAATTTGACTATGTATAGAGAAACCTAAATCCTTCCCAAGTATAAAATGTGTATGCTAAGGATTTTCCAAAATTTTGCTTGGTGCAAAAACAAACTAATAAAATAATAGAAGTTTTAGTGGTACCATATGCACTATATCATGTATTTAAAATAAAAACAACAAAATTGGTTGCACTGATCAAAAAGTGAAGCCATGTTCCATTTCAGTACTTGAATCAACATTTTTAAGATTTTATTCTTTAAGTTTGTGGTGGGAAATGAACTATCAGTTAAAAATTAGTCATGTTGGACAGGGTTTAGATCCAGGGTAACTTCCAGTATCAGTCTACAGATGAATATAACATCAATGGATATAACCATCATATGTCTGTTGGGTATAACAAATAATAATTCTTTGATTTTATTTCAGAATTCTCTGCAAACTATGTTAATTTGACAAATAACATACCAGGGACTAAATAATGAAATACATGGTAGAGATATCTGGTGCTCACACATAAATCATTCTCATTCCTGAGCACATGGGAAAACTAGACTTCTCTTAACCTCTTGCAGTTAGTTAAGACCATGTGACTGGTTCTAGCCAATGAAATGTGAACAGGGGTAATAGCAATACTTCCAGGTCATAGCATTTACAACTCAGTGTGCCATCTCCATGGTCTCTCTTCCCCAGCTGGGATGACCCTGAAGCCACATATAGAGATGGTAATGTCACAAGATGGAGGGAACCTGGATTCCTGATCAAAAGACAGGTCCGCAGACATCTATCAAGATTATTATTAGCAAGAAATAAACATTTAGTGTATCAAATCACTGAGATCTGGTGTTCCTTCATTCATACAGTTAGACTTATGTTAGCTGACATACAAAATTGTAGTACAGAATAGCAAATTCTTTCTTCTACTTTGATTCTTATGATGACAATACATATGATTTTTCTATAAAAACTCTTTCTTGCATCTCTCAAGGTTTACATGTTTCCTAAAAGCATTCTAGGTGTTAATACTACGCTGTTTTATATTTATCAACTATACTCTTTGCTTATTAGCTGTGTGGCCTTTGGCACGTTCATAACCTCTCTGAATCTCTGTTTTTTCATCTGTAAAGTGGGAAGAGTAATACCTTCCTTGCAGAATTGTGGTATAGTAAATATTAGAAATAAAGTGTGTAAGCCACAGTGCCTGGCACACAGTAGTACTCAATAAATAGCAGCTATATAGATAGTAACCTTCTAGAGCGCAGAAACCAAGGCACACCTCCTGCCGTCTACTCCCACGTCTAGCACAATGCCTAACACCCAGTATAAACAAATATTTACCAAATGTTACTACGAAGAGGATACAAAATAAAATATAAATCAAATTAGCTAAAATAAATTCATTAAAGAACTTTTTAATGCTACTAGCCTCAGTTGAACCAAACTGCTCCCTTCCCTGGTATCACTATACACAGAGAGAGAGAGAGAGAGAGAGAGAGAGAGAGAGAGAGAAGAAGCCATCTCTAATAGCAAATGAAACTTGCTAATTCAACAAGTAGTAGACATTTTAGTAGTTTGCCTAAAGGAAGTGCTAGGTTTTAGACAAATTTTCCTTAGTGAAATTTACTTGGTGAAATCACTGAGCTCACCTGATCTTATAACCAGTTGACAGTGCCATGGCTAAAGATCATGATAAATCATTCCATTTAATTTACATCAGATTGAATTATAATATGCAATGTAAACACTGATTTCCAAGACTAGGAGAGCAGCTAAACCAAACTCGGTGGAAATAACTTTCACATTTAGTTTCTGGTAAGTTGCTTTCTCATCCACTCCAAAATAAAACCCCAAATACAATTGCGTCCTTTCATAAGCCTCTTTACCTACAACACAAACACAACTCATAACACATCCTCCAAGTAGCATGATGGTTCCGCTGACATTGGACCACATCCACGGACTCTTCTGTGACTAATGTAATATTTCTGCACTGTGTGAGAAAAACATTAGTAGCAACCCTTTAGTGAAAAAGTATGCACCTCACATTCCTACGTGGAATGACTTGCTTTTCTCTACAGAAGCACCCCTGACTGCTTGAGGGCAAATCAAATATTCAACAATACCAAAAACCCTACGAGATCCCTTGCTCAGTTTGAAAAAAAAAAAAAGCAGCAGCAGCAGCAGGTTGTTGACTCTTTTAAGCCACACCACACAGGAAGCTAAAGGAGCAAACTTTAAGATAATATTTTTATTACAAGGACACTGAAGGTTTGATATAAAGCTACTAGAGCCCAAGAAATACGGAAGCCTGGTAAGGGCAGGGAATTTACTGTGTCTCACTCTGCTCACTCCCCAATTTCATAGAATGCAGCAGGCACTCAGGAATGACAGGCCAGGAAAAGAAGGGCTGCTAGTGTGACTTGTCTACTGTGAGGCCCTCCCAACGCTGCAGAGAGCTGGTTCCTTTTGTTCCTCTTATTCTCATATGAAAGATGAGAAATAGCTAATGACGTAGACAAAGAATCCTCATTTAAGAAAACAAACACATTTAAGCAAGGCACTATGTTCAGTTATGGAGCTCCTAAGAACTGGAAGGTCCCACAGTGTCTCTGAGTGTAGAGGTAACGGCTAAGGACACTGGCCCTGGAGCCCGACAGCTTGTGGCAAGTCCCATCTCTGCCACTTACTACGGTGCGACCATGGGTGTTCTTATGCTTTCTGTGCCTTAGTATCCTCATTTGGAAAACACAGATGACAATAACAGTACCTCATAGGGTTTTTGTGAGGATTAGATGAGTATATATCACTTAGAATGATGCCCAGCACAAAGTAGGTGCTCATCAAATGCTTATTATTTTAAAATATGATTATTTAGGGTTACAATTTCAGCCTCAGGTGGCTGAATTTTGTCCCATTGGCAACTAAATGGGTATCGGGCTGCAAGTATTTGGTATACTGCCACCACAGTCACTCCTCTTTAAGAAATAAGAAACCACAAGTTTTCCCCTTCTGCCATTGTCTTTTATTGACCCAGGTGGAGTGCAAAATGAGATGTCAGTGACCATCTACTCAAATGTAAAGGCACTGCTCCTAAATGTTGAAGCAGCTGACCTGAACTAAAGACAAGAAGAAAAGCATTACATATTCTGGGTCAAAAACTGGAGAGGTGATCCACAATTATATCAGCAATTGTTGTTCTACAAAGATCCCAAGGCAATTAAATGGAAAGAATATTGTCTTTTCAACAAATGATGCTGGAACACTGGATATCAATGTGGGAAAGAAATGGGACTCAACCCTTCTCTAACACCAGATATAAAAATTATCTCAAAGTGGATCATAAACCTACACGTAAGATGTAAAACTATTAAATGTCTAGAAAAAAAACCAGAGAAATCTTTGTGACATTAGGTTAGGCCAAGACTTCTTAAACTGTACATCGAAAGCATAAACTCTAAGAGGAAAATATTGATTAACTGGACTTCATCAAGATTAAATACTGTTGCTGTTTGAAAAACATAGTTAAGAAAATAAAGTGGCTATCACACTGCAAAACGTATAACTGATAAAGGGCTACACTATTTAAGGATCTCTTACAACTTAATAAAAGGAAGACAAATAACCCAATTTAAAAATTGGGCAAATTATTTGAACAGACATTCCACAAAAGAAGTTATAGGAACGGTCAGATAAACACACGGAATAATATTCAACATCACTAGACACCAGAGAAATGCAATTTTAAACCACAATGAGACACGATCACATATGCAGTAAAACGACTACAGTTAAAAAGACGGACAATATCAAGTTTGGGCAAGGATATGGAAAAGGGGAACCCTCATGTATTGCTGGTGAGAATGAAAATGTTCCAGCCACCTTGAAACACTGTCAGCAGTGTTTCACATACATTTACCACATGACCCAGCAAGTGCAGTCCTAGGTATTTACACAAGACAAGACAAATGAAAGCATATGTCCACAGCAGCGTTATTCATAATAGCCAAACCCTAGAAGCCAAAACCTAGAAACAACCAAAAGTCCACCAACTGGGGAATAAATTGTGATACATGCTTACCGTGGGATACTACTCAGCAATTTTAGAAACAAATTATTAGCACAAGCGATAACATAGATGAATCTCAAAAAGATTCTGCTAAATGAAAGAAGGCAACATACAAGACTCTATACTCTACCATTCCATTTATATGAAATTTGAGAAAAAGCAGAAGTATAGTGACAGAAGGCTAATCTGTGTCTGCCACGAGCAAGAGGAGACGGGAGGGCTTGAAATTCAAACTCTTAGGATGAGGAAACTTTCCACTGATTCTGACGTTGGTTACATCATTGTAAACAATTAGCAAAATTTTCAAACGTGTGAATTTAAAACAAACAAGCAAGCAAAGATCATTGCTTCCGTAAGTTCTTTGGGCACACGAGAAGAATACATAGAATCTATTTGTAAGGTACCAAGTACACATACATGTACACACTTGATTATTGACAATACCAATTCTTTCTTGAGTATTCAATCAGACAAGGTCTTTAAAGAGTTATATTGTTTTAAAAAGTGATGGGCAGGCAACATCTTTGGCTGCCATTTGGAAAGTTACAAACTAGAAGAGGTCAAAGTGAAAACTTTACAAAGTAGGAAATTTCCACGCAAACAGCCCTTTGTTCTTCAAAAATAGTTCATTTTAAGACTAAAACTAAAACCAGTCAAGGAATCTGTCATCTAAGAGGCAGGAAAACGGAAATATTCCGCCACACACCTAGGCCAATGGTCTAATAAAACCCGTTTATGAAGAAAGATGCAGGCATGTTTAAAAAAAAAAACAAACAAAATCTTAAACTCACAGTTGAATTCACTCATCCCACTTAAAAAGCCAACAGAGAAAACAAGTTAGGTGGTTTTGGGTTTCAGTTCCAGCTGCTGATGTAAGAGCCAGGGACTCACCTCTGTGTTTCCGTCTTTGAAGCTCTCGCTGTAAGTACTGTCCGGGGTGCTGCGCTGATCATCCTTGAGGTAGGTGCTATGGCTGGCCACGGACGGCACACCATACTGAGTCTGTTCAAAGATAACCACGCGTTGCTCTTCACCATCTCCCCGGGGATAGTGCACAGGTGGGGCCGTGAAAACCGGCGTGAAATCTTCGGCCTTCACCACTGTGATTCCCGCCATGGGGATGACGGCTGGGCTCTCAGAGACGTTCGTGCTATACTGTTCCCGTTTTGAATTCTCCAGGTGGTCTTGGTTTAGGGAAAGGTTCACTGGAACAGTCTTTAGGACCTGCACTCGGTTTTCTCCTCCACTCAAACTACTGTGGGCTCCACTGGTGCCAAGACAGTTTCTGTGTGTTTAAACCCACACCCCGCAACAGAACAGAATTAGAAACATCACCCTTCTGCAACTCCTAATAACTGATGTAAACAAGAATCAGTGGATGCTAATGCATTAGGGGGAGAGCTGATGGCAAACTTTACAATGGAATGCAATGAATCTTTGTATCACTAGAAGGAGGACAACTACACCTATGTGCCTCCTGGTATCATGCAATGAGCCCCACCTAGAGAGGAAGGAGGGAGGGAGGAAAGAAAGAAAGAAAGAAAGAAAGAGAGAGAGAGAGAGAGAGAAAGAGAGCGAGAGAGAGAGAGAAAGAGAGAGAGAGAGAGAGAGGGAGGGAGAGAGGGAGGAAGAAATGAAGGAACGAAGGAAGGAAAGGTGTGACAACTTTATTCGCAATTCCTATTTGAAAGTGGAGTAGGATTTCAGAAGAGAGCTCCCAGGCCTGGACAGACAGTCAAGCTGAATAAGTCCCAGTGGTCAACGAAGTTCTGTATTCGAAAGTCTTCTGAAAGGCTTCTCTTTGACTCTCAAAGAAAACAATTTAGAACTAAACGTGAAGAAATATGTTGATTTAATTGGAACTTAAGTGTTCCTGAAGGCCTTATCTTAATATAAGATTGCTATTAACAACACGATTTAAAAATAAAGAGATAGATTTGCGTTAGGGCACAGACGAAAATCCTATAATCACATGCTAATAACCCAAGATGTACTATAATTGCCTACTAATTACCATGGAAAAGTATGGGATTAATATTAACAATATAACTCATACAACCTGGTACAGGGAAAGATTACTTACTGGGAACCAAAATTAAAGACAGATTGAATAAAGAGCAAATGGTTAGTTTCACAATTAACTACAAAATTACGTCAATATTGGTCACATTGGATGTGACTATCACGTAATGATGCTTATTTGGACGTGCTTGTGGAGTAAGTCTCGTTACATGACAATCCACACCACCCGTTCTGAAAGTGCAAAAACTGTGATGTTCATTATTTTGAAACATCTGCATTGTAAAGCAAGAAAGTAATTCTGTTCAGTAGAGAAATTATATCTGAATGAGTTTCAATATATCTGCTGTAGCTTCGGATTTTTCATTTTATAGATCAATATTAGTTGTTGAACGTCTTATAATTTTCCTTCCCTGTTTGAAAGGAAGCAAAGAGAAAAATATCCCTTCCCAGGAAAGTGGTTTTGGAATTATTCACGGTTTGAGTAGACTTGGTATGCAGTCTGGTTCATTTTGTGATTTGTGGTTCATTTCAAATGTTTTTAAAAGGGCTTACATCGTGCAAAACTGGATCCCTCCACCGTGCAAATGAGTCCCAGGTAACTCCCAGCCTGCTCCGTGTGTACGCGGTGCCTCCAAGTCATCGTGTCCCTGGCTGGACCCAGCACTGGCCGGCCTCCACTCCCCCGCAGCTGGCCACGCTGCCCTGCCCGACCCCCTGCCTCAGGGCGGGACACCCGCCTCGCCTCGCTAGCAAAGCTGAGCTTTTCTTCTGTGATTTTTATCTTCTCCTTTATTCCCACAGCCAGTCAGTCCTGGAGAGTCCACCAGTTCTAGAATTCATCTCTCATTCCTGGGTTAACTTTGCATCTCTCCTTTCCCAGCCGTAACCGTCTCTCCCTCACTTCATCCCACCCCCATGCTGGCCCAGAACTGCCTCTCTGAAATACAGATATCACTGCATGACAGTCCTGCTAAAAATCCTCTGTGGTTATCCAAAGCCTCCAAAATCAAATACTGCAACTCATTGAAGAGAAATACCGCCTCATCACCATATTCCTTTTGCCTTTATTTATTCCCAGTCTCCTCCTTGTCAGAGTTCTAGGAGGACTGAAAAGTGAATGCAACACATCCACCTGGGTGAGTGACAACTTTTACGAACCCTCACTTACGTATTCCTGGATGTCTGAAGCCCATTCTGTTCAACAGTAGAAAAACTGAATTAGCAAGACACAAAGTATGCATGTTACACCTCAATATAAAAGAGTATAAACACACACTTTTCAACAGCTCCCCAACAGAACTGCAAACCAAGACTCTGGAGCCAAGCTAATGTCAAAGCAGCAGAGGACGAGAAACCCTGAGCTCAATTCCCCTCAGCATCTGGTGTGGTGATGTTCCTCTGCAAAGACCCACCCCACGGTCTGAGAGATAGCATTTCCCCAACTTTCCACCTGCAGCTCTGGGCGTTACCACCAGGACACATGGGGTATTTGTCAATGGCCCTCTAATACCTGGAACCTTCTGGGCCTTGGACCCTTAAACACCCAGCTGGGCCCGTTCAGCCTCCAAAGTAGACCTGGAGCTTCAGCCCGTACCTCATGGAAACAGCTTTAAATGGGGCTCCTCTTAGAGCTTGAGACCAGCAAATTCCATCTATACTTCATATCCCTGGTGCTCTAAGAGTCCCCTTAAAAAAGCAAGCGTCTCCACAGCTACCATAGCCTTCAGTCTCATTTTCTCAACCCAGTTTACTCGGGACTTCCCTCCTTCTCCCCACTCCCTGTGTAAGTTGAATCGATGACACTCCCACCAGCATGCACGAGAGTTTCCACCCCTCCCATCTTTGCCAACAATCTTGCCAGATTTTATAAAATTATGCACCAATCTCACTCTGGTTTTTCCGTCTGGATTCCTGCACCTCCGCGTGGGCTGCTTCCTCAGCTCACAGCACTCTCCACCACCTTTTCGAGCTCAGCCACTCTTGTTATCTTTTCCAAGGGGTCTTAGAAACATCTCAGGGAAGTGCTCTTCCCATGTGCCCCTCACGCGTGGTATCTTAGCTGGTCATCTTCTTGCCTCCAGACTTGAGCAGTTCGAGGAGGGGGCTCCACCTTATTTATGTATCTCTGAATTGCCTGTTCCTAACAAAGGGTCCATTTGCTGAGCGACTGTGGAATCACTCTGCCTTTCTGCAAGCTGGTGGTAACTAAGATGGGACCGGCACCAACTCCCTGTCCCCTTAGAAAGGGGCTTTCGCACTCAGAGGGGAGCAAACGACAGATATCATCAAAGCGGCGATTCCGTACAGTAGGTACAACTGGCACAGGGACAATCTCTGGGCTGCAGAATGTAAACGTATTTATGACCTGGAATAATTCTGTTATCCAATGAGCTCACAAGAAAGAACTTGTGAAACTTGGAGAACTCCGCTTGTGTGCTTTGCCAAGCAGCAGAAGGCACTTGGGCTGGGGTTGGTTTGTTGTACTTATATCCAGTAAGAGCTAATTGCTAATGTTTCCTTCCCCACCAACATAGTTTACGGCCTAATGTGCAAGAACCACGTCTCTGAACTGGCTTTTAGAAATATCACAACTAGTAGCGGCCCAGAGTCCTACCACCCAGAGTGCAAGATGTTCTCAATGTCTGGAGAGAAAGCCGTAGAGGAGAGAAGAAGGACCTCAATGCAAGGTCAATTCATGAATGTGTGCAGTTACTCTGCATGTAATCAGGGCCTGATGGGGGCCAAGAACTATCTAGAGGTCAGGATACAAAGACGATAGACAGTGGAGTAAAGACATAGAATAATAAAAAATAAAACAAGGGATGCAAACTCCAGCATTCCTGGGTTTCCATCTTCACTTACCAGGGATTTGACCTTGGGTAAAATTCTTAGCCCCTCACCATCTCAGTTTTTAAACAACAAAGTAAGTTGTTTTCAGGAGGAAGGACAAAATGTTTATGTCTGATGCACAGAAAGAGCCCAGTACGAAGAAGGCAACAGACACATGGGAGCTTTTATTAAGACACAGTTCACTCCTTCGAAAGCCTGCCTCCTGTCACTGTAATAAGAGTTTCATCCATACATTTGTTCATTCATTCATTCATTCATTCACTCACTCACTCATTCCTTCAGGAAATATTTATTGAACACTCATGATGACTTGGGCTCTGTGCTAAGCATTGGGGCCGGAGCAGAGAACAAATCAGACAAGTGCCTGCTCTTACGGGCTTATTCTAGTAGGAGGGGGCACACAATAAGAAATAGAAACATATATTCATAATAACATGTTAGGTGATAACAAGCAGTCTGCAGTAAACTAAAGTTAAGGGAGCTCGAGAGTGATGAGGGTGTGACTTTGGGTAAGGTGATAGGGAAGGTCTCTCTGATAACGTGACAACAGGCAAAGGCCTCCAAGAAGTGAGGGAACAAGCTGGGCATCATGGGAGTATCCACCCCAGGAGGGATGTGACTGGTGTGAGGCAGGGATGGCCTCACGGGGAACTCCACTCAGCACACAGGAAGCTGGGAGCTGAGGCGCCACGTGCTCTGAGAGGCAGCCTCCTTCCCTGGCCCTCAGGCTCTCACTCTCCTTTCCATGGATCCACAGACAGGGCTCCATCGGGGACGCTGAGGGTCCTCTCCCGCCAGGCAGCCAGCACACAGGGGCTACTCAGAGCATCAAGAGTATGTGGGAGATGAAGAGTAGCCACAAAGAACAGCCAACAATCTTATCCAAGGGAGACAGACTTATGTCAGGCAAGATGCAGAATGTTCTCCAGGCATGATTATTTCAGGGTGCAAGAGATGACAGGAGAATCCTTGAGTGTGAGTGCTGAGGGGATGTTGAAGAAGGAAAGACACAAAGAGAGGTAAGAGCTCCATCGGGCTTCTCCTGGAATGGAGGGAGGGAGGCCGCGTGCCGGAGACAGGCTGGTTGTCCCAGGCACTCCCGGAAAGGAGAGGAAAGGGTGCGCACACCCATACACACAAAATTGTGTTACGCATAATTTGAGGAGTTTGAGGTTCCCCTGTAGCCCACACCCACAGACCCCAAGGACCAAGGTTATGAATGCTTGTTTTAGCAAAAGGGGCCTCATCTCAGTCTCTAACATGAGCTTCAAGTTCACTACCTGCAGGGCTCAGCTGAACCTGCTGACCACAGTGGCTGGTGGAGGCGTGGGAACTGCAACTTTGGAGCCCTGACTTTAACCTCCAGTTCATGGAGGTGAAGAAAGATAACACATTACATAATTTTGGATTCTTCCTTTTCTTTTGCAGGCTACTAGAAGGTTCTCAACCC